TGTCCACGAGTTGCAGGTCGACCGGTTTCAACCTGGTTCCTACCATCCCGCGAACCAGGTAGTCGCCGGATTCCATCTGTCGAAGTCATGGCACGGAAGGGAGAGCTTGGTGGTTAGGTTTTGGTAGTTAGGTGTGTCCTCCTTTCCTCTCTTCCCTCCCTCCCCTCCCTCCTTTCTTTTTCCCTCCCTCTTTCCTTTTCCCTCCCTTCTATCTCCCTTCTTTCCTCCCTCTCCCCCTCTCCCATTTATCCTTCTCTCAAATCCCACTCACCCTGACCCCACTCACTCCCTCCCTCCCTTCCCTCTCCCTCCCCACTCCATACATCCCCCACACTCCCTCCCTCCCCACATCCCCCCGACCCAACCACATCCATCCTCTCCCCCCACACACACTCATCCCTCCTCCTCCTCCTCACCCCTAACCACACCCCACACTCCATCCCACTTTTTAAATACCCTCCCACCTCACATAACCCCCACTCCCCCCCTCCCTCACATTAGCCTCTCCCACACTCTTCCCTCCTCCCCCCCACCCCTCCTCACCCCCCCACCCCCTCCCTCCCTGCACCAACTCACCGGGAACACCATGGTCGTATTGTGGAAGGTCTCGACGAGCGGGAACGACGAGACGGGCAGGTAGTCCTTGTCCAGCATCCGGAAGTCGTCGGGGATCATGGTGTGGCCCAGACGGAAGGCCGCCGTCGAGAACTCGTTCAGGACGCCGGGGTTCACGCGGCTGTCGTAGCGCTGGGGGGGAGGGGAAGGAAGGTGGTGGTGAGGGGAAGGGAAGGGAGGAGGTGGTTAAGGGAGAGGAGGTTAAGGGAGGAAAGGGGGAGGAAGGAAGGGAGGAAAGGGGGAGGAAGGAAGGGAGGAAAGGGGGAGGAAGGAAGGGAGGAAAGGGGGAGGAAGGAAGGGAGGAAAGGGGGAGGAAGGAAGGGAGGAAAGGGGGAGGAAGGAAGGGAGGAAGGAAGGGAGGGGGGGAGAGGTGGTGAGGGAAGGGGAAGGGAGGGAGGGAGGAAAGGGAATAAAAAAGAGTGAGGGAGGAAAGGGAATAAAAAGAGAGTGAGGGAGGAAAGGGAATAAAAAAGAGGGAGGGAGGAAAGGGAATAACAAAGAGGGAGAAAAGGGAATAAAAAAGAGGGGGAAATAAAGGAATAAAAGAGGGAGGAGAGAGAGGAAAGAAAAGGAGAGGAGAGGAAATATGTGGGAAGCGAGGACAGGTGATGAAAGACGAGCGAGGGAGGAAGTCATGATTAGCAAGAAGGGGAAAAAGAAAAAAAAAAAATAATAAAAAAAAGAAAAAATAAAATCACATGAATTAATATTCATTCTCTCAGGGCACAAGACTCACATCCGAGTAACCGTTTCTCAGAGGAAGCAAATCGTATTCTTTAGCCTTCCAGTAACCGATGAGTGTTGGGATAAACTCGTTGTAAACCATGTGTTGATATTGCGCGATGTTGATCTGCCTGGAGACCTGTGAGGAGAAAAGAATGAATTAATTTTCTATAGTTCATAATTACTTGCTTCTTTGCACGCCTTCTAATATGAACTGACCATCCGGTGTGTGTGTGTGTGTGTGTGTGTGTGTGTGTGTGTGTGTGTGTGTGTGTGTGTGTGTGTGTGTATGTGTGTGTGTGTGTGTGTGTGTGTGTGTGTGTGTGTGTGTGTATGTGTGTGTGTGTGTATGTATGTATGTGTGTGTGTGTGTGTGTGTGTGTGTGTGTGTATGTATGTATGTGTGTGTGTGTGTGTATGTATGTATGTGTGTGTGTGTATGTATGTGTGTGTGTGTATGTATGTGTATGTATGTGTATGTATGTATATGTATGTGTATGTATGTGTATGTATGTGTGTGTGTGTATGTGTGTGTGTGCGTGTGTATCTGCCTCTCTTGAATACGCTTTCATTTTTTTAATAATGATTCTGACGAATAATCAGAGGTTCCTCCATATTCCTACAAAATTTATACACGAAGGCTTTCTACATGTTTTCTGTAGGTTCAATAAAATCTTTTCCTGCCCTACTTAACTCCCCTAAACATAACCCTCCCTCCCTTATTTAATTCGGCCAAACATAACTCTCCCTCCCTTATTTAACTCTCCAAAGGACCCTCTCCCTCCCTAAGGTCCCTCCCCTCCCTAAGAACCAACCGTCCCTCCTCTATTTAACTCTCCTGAACGCCCCTTTTTTCTCCCTAGGTCTGCCTTTCCCCCCCTAGGTCTCCCTTTTTTCCACCTAGGTCTCCCTTTTTTCTCCCTAGGTCGCCCCTTTTCTCACCTGATAGATCCTCTCGTCGTCCCAGTGGGGGTTGATCTTCGCGAGTCCCATGGCAATGCGATTATGCTCACGAAGGAACAGAATGTGAGAGACCATGATGCCGAGGTGTTCGTTGCTCCTGCGATAAACAAAAAACAAACAAACAAAAAAAATGAGGGTCTGGATAAGATTTAATAAGTTTTCGTTAATGCTTAGTATGTTTATTAGAGGTTGTTGAAATTGTTGACTAGATGGATATATATGTAAATATGTAATTTGTTTTCGAAATGAGGATGGTAAAACAGAAAACTTGATTTGTTAACTCGCTGAAATAATTTTTTTGAAGATGTCAAATGACCCCTGATAGTTAAAAAAGATACTTTCATGACATACTCAGGAAATAGTAATATATCAATCACTCCATGAAACCTTGATATAGGATACTGCATTTACACCTGTTCAACCATCCATTTACCTCTCCTACACAACCCGGAACAAGACCCAACCATCCATCTAACTCCACTACACAACCCGGAAAAGAGATCCTCACCTGTCATCCCCTGCCATGAAGCACTTGCTATGCTTCGTACGGCAGTCCTCGAACATGTCGCCAGGAACCAGAGGCAAAACCCCTTTGTCGAAGTTCATGACCCGAGTCTCAGTCATGTGACCGTTGGCAAACAGTCGCAGGCGGTTCATGCGGCAGTCGCTGGTGCCGTAGACCTGGGTAAGTGATTCAGTGTGTGAGTGATTCAGTGTGTGAGTGATTCAGTGTGTGAGTGATTCAGTGTGTGAGTGATTCAGTGTGTGTGTGAGTGATTCAGTGTGTGTGTGAGTGATTCAGTGTGTGTGTGAGTGATTCAGTGTGTGTGTGAGTGATTCAGTGTGTGTGTGAGTGATTCAGTGTGTGTGTGAGTGATTCAGTGTGTGTGTGAGTGATTCAGTGTGTGTGTGAGTGATTCAGTGTGTGTGTGAGTGATTCAGTGTGTGAGTGATTCAGTGTGTGTGTGAGTGATTCAGTGTGTGAGTGATTCAGTGTGTGAGTGATTCAGTGTGTGTGAGTGATTCAGTGTGTGTGAGTGATTCAGTGTGTGTGAGTGATTCAGTGTGTGAGAGTGATTCAGTGTGTGTGAGTGATTCAGTGTGTGTGAGTGATTCAGTGTGTGTGAGTGATTCAGTGTGTGTGAGTGATTCAGTGTGTGTGAGTGATTCAGTGTGTGTGAGTGATTCAGTGTGTGTGAGTGATTCAGTGTGTGTGAGTGATTCAGTGTGTGTGAGTGATTCAGTGTGTGTGAGTGATTCAGTGTGTGTGAGTGATTCAGTGTGTGTGAGTGATTCAGTGTGTGTGAGTGATTCAGTGTGTGTGAGTGATTCAGTGTGTGTGAGTGATTCAGTGTGTGTGAGTGATTCAGTGTGTGTGAGTGATTCAGTGTGTGTGAGTGATTCAGTGTGTGTGAGTGATTCAGTGTGTGTGAGTGATTCAGTGTGTGTGAGTGATTCAGTGTGTGTGAGTGATTCAGTGTGTGAGTGATTCAGTGTGTGAGTGATTCAATGTGTGAGTGATTCAATGTGTGAGTGATTCAGTGTGTGAGTGATTCAGTGTGTGAGTGATTCAATGTGTGAGTGATTCAATGTGTGAGTGATTCAATGTGTGAGTGATTCAATGTGTGAGTGATTCTATGTGTGAGTGATTCAATGTGTGAGTGATTCAATGTGTGAGTAATTCAATGTGTGAGTGATTCAATGTGTAAGTGATTCAATGTGTGAGTGATTCAATGTGTGAGTGATTCAATGTGTAAGTGATTCAATGTATAAGTGACTAAATGTATAAGTGACTAAATGTATAAGAATCTGAAATATCTACCAACAAAAAGTAAAAACAATAATTCAGGAAAAAAAAAACGAGTTTCGATATCTATTTCACAATGCACCGACGCAACGTTCTTTAAGAGTCCCTAAAAACAAACAAACAAAAGCAAAAATCTAAGGACAGGACAAACTACCGTCGACAAATCCAGAAATCCAGTGTTGGTGTTGATCTGGTCGACCGAGTAACGACCAAAGCCATTAGGTCGCCCTCTGACGGCGGTTCTGGAAGGAAAGTCGACAACGCTTCAGAATTCATTTTGATGGGGAAATGGGTAGCGAAAATGGGGGGAAACAAAGCCAAATTAAGGGAAATAGGTAGCGAAATTAAGGGAAACGGAAAGCGAAATTCAGGGAAATGGGAGTGAACTTTGGGAACAGGGAGAGGGAGGGAGCAAAAATCCAGGAAAGAAATTCGAAATCTCAGAATGCTTTTGATGGGGTGGAAAGGGGTAATGAAAATAAGGGAGAAAATGAGGCGAGAATAGGAAAATGGAACGAAAATGGGGGGGGGGGGGAGTTAATGAAAATAGTGAGAGTATTGGGGAATTCTGGAAAAAATCTGATGGGGAAATAAGGTGAAAATAGGGGAGCTAAGAATGAGGGCATAGGTAATGAAAATAGGGGAGGGGAATATGTGACAAAAAGGGGGAAATTTGCCCGAAAAATTCTGGAAAAGAAAATTCTGGAAAACGCTCCAGAATTCCCCTTTTGACGGGGAAATGGGGTGAAAATAAGAGGGGGCGAAAATGGAGGAAGAAACGCCGAAAGTTGGGGATAAGAGGAAATTGATAACCGTTTGATTAGATTCCAGGTATTTGAAAAAAATCCAAAAATAAATATGTGGGGCAGGGGAGGAAAGTACTAACCAGTTGACTTTTTACTCGAGGAGGATTTTTTTTTTTAAGTCCCATGTCCATAGACGTAGGGGACATGTTCGCAGAGAAACATGCTTACTAGGCCGCGGGATGATGCGGTAGGGTGGCCAGTTCCTTTCCGCCCCGACTTTGACCCCGACATGCTGACGTCAGCATATCAGTACTCATTCACAGCTGAGTCGACTGAGAGGGGTGGCGGCCGGGCGCGAACCCGGGACCTCGCGATTGCAAAGCCAGCGCTCTACCACTGAGCTATGACACCCAGGAGGAAAATGGGAAGAGCTAAAAAAAAAACAAACGCAGATTCAAAGCCTTTCAGAAAAAAAAGAAAACAATATATATAGAGAGAGAGAAGAGAGGAAAAAGAATGGAAAACTAAAAGAATAAAAGGCCCCACACTTAATGTTTACAATGCTCGCGTCATTTCTGAATCTCATGAACGGAAGGAAAAGGAAAAACTAATATTATTATTAGACAAACAAAATCGAGGCTTTACGCCATGTGATTAATCTATGGCCTTTTTTTTCTTATTTTACGGATTCTGGGTATACTTTAGTAATATATAAAGAAGTCTTCCTCCCTTTACAAAATTAAGATCACTTACAGTTGCCAAAGAATATACCGCCATTTTCTATTCTTGCATCCGAACACATCCCCATAACGACTGCGTGCTATAGTTACAACCATTACCGCAAACCGTTCGAATGCGATGGAGGAGCCTAGACTTCAAGATGTCTTTAACGTGTTCATTAACCATAACACCATCTGTACTTCCATAAAATTTTGCTAATCTATTACTTCTATTACAATATCATAAATTTTTACATCATGACATACAGGTAATCATTAATTACCAATTCTAAACCACGACGAAGTCATGGCTCTAACATCGTATTCAAATCATTTGCGGTAATGGTGGGCACACAGGTACGCGTGTCCGGATGCCTAGGTCGATACTGGCGCGATTTGCACATTGGCCACATTGGCACTTGGGAGTGGGCATGGTTCGAGCAACGATTGCTTAAATTCTTAATTCCTCCTTTCCGTGCATAATTCTGGCTGTCATTGTGACTTCTGGCATACATAATATACCCACTATTCACGGCTGCAGGACGAATACCCCCTTGTAACGATGCCAAATCCTGCCAGACTTTGACGGAAAGTAACATCTTCTCGACGCAATTGTGCCATTTAGCAAGAAGTTTGGCATAATTCCACAGATAATTCGCACATGAGCCGGGGATTTTTTCTGTCGTTTGGGTAACGTTATTCCGAAAATTTTCTAGAAAATTTAGAAAAAAAATTGAAGGGAGGGGGGTGGCGGGTATACTGGGTTTTCTTGGACATGCATGTTATAAAAAAAATAAATACATGCTAAAATGTCGAATTCATTCCCTCAGAGAAAAGATCTTAAAGAAAAATAAATGCTAATGCTATTCAAAATCCTTACACTTCCTCTCTCTCTCTCTCTCTCTCACACACACACACACACACACATAAATAACAATAACAAAACAACAAAATAATAGTAGTAGTAACAATAATAATAATAATAATAATAATAATAGTAATAATAATAATAATAATAACAAGAAATAAACCGGTCCCCTCTCCCGCCCCACCTCGTGAAGGGGAGGCACCGAAGCTTCCCCGTCTTGGCGTCGTGGCCGGACAGGAAGGGGTCATTCCTAGGAATGGGAATGGGCGCACAGCCAGGGTTGGTCCACGAGCTGCATTCCTTACATTCCAGGGGTTTGTCGTCGGCGCCTGAGAAGATTGGGAGAGGAATGAGCGAAGGGATTTGCAAGCTATTGGAAAGTTTCGTTAATAAATTGATAAGAAAATATCTACATTGATAAGAAAATATGGCAACCGTCAGGGAGGAAAAGTATATACGTAAGGAAATACGAGACATTAAATAAGATGATCTTCGTGTAATTAAAATATGACAAAAAAATCTGAAATCATCACAATCTGATTTTAAAATTAACCAAATAAAACTTGAAAATAAATCGCCAATAATGTGACCTTTGACCGACCTTGCTCGTGAAATACTAGGTCAATGAAACGACAATGCATCACCATTACAAACTTATACATAAATTTAAAGAGAAGAAAAAATGAAAAGGAAAAGATAAAAATAAAACAAGGGACGGGAAAAATAATAAAAGACAGAAATAAGCAAAGAACTAAAAGCAATTTTTTTTTATTTTTTATAAGTAGTGGTCGATAAAATGACCCAAAAACTCAAAATGTAACACTAACCTATGCTCATAAAATCTCCCTCCGACCTTTCAAAAAAAATGATAGAAAAATAAACGAAAACATAGAAAGACATAGTAAAATACAAAAAAAAAAAAAAAAAAAAAAAAAACATTAATTTCAACCATCTCTCCCCTCCCAGCCCCCTCTCCCACCCCCCTCCTGACCTCTGACCTTGAACAACAGGCGTGAGAACGAAATCATGGTCGATGAACTGGCCCATCTGCATGACCATGACGTTGTGCTCCGTGGGGCGGGCTTGGGGCAGCTTCCTCACGGCCAGACTCACGACGCGGGGGTTGGGGAGCAGCCCTCCTCCTGACGCAGATCGGGTCTTGAAGAAAGCGTCGTCTGCGGGGGAGGGGGGAGAAAGGAGGGGGGAGGTGATGCAGGGAGGAGATGAGGGGTGGGGATACGAGAGGAGGGAGGAGAAGGGGGGAGGAGGGAGGAGGGAGGAGAGGGGGGGAGGAGGGAGGAGAGGGGGGGAGGAGGGAGGAGAGGGGGGGAGGAGGGAGGAGAGGGGGGGAGGAGGGAGGAGAGGGGGGGAGGAGGGAGGAGAGGGGGGGAGGAGGGAGGAGAGGGGGGGGGGAGGGAGGAGGGGGGGAGGAGGGAGGAGAGGGGGGAGGAAGGGGGGGAAAGGGGATGGAATTGTGAGGAGAAAGGAGGAGGAAGGAGAAAGGAGGGGGGGGGGAGGGAGGTGGGAGGAGAAAATGAAGTGGGGTGGGAGAAGGGGTAGAAAATGGGAGGAGGAAGGGGGTGGAGATGGGAGGGGGGAGGGGGAAATGGGGGTGAGGTGGGGGTACGGGGGTAAGGAGGGGAATGAACGTAGTGGGGGACGAGGTAAAGGGGAGGGGGAGAAGAGGGGAAAGGTGGGGTAGAAGGAGAGTTGGGGTAAGGGGGGAGGTGAAGGGATAAAGGGTAGAAGGGGAAGGGGAAGGGGAAGGGGAAAGGGATAGGGAAGGGAAGGGGAAAGGGATAGGGAAGGGAAGGGGAAAGGGATAGGGAAGGGAAGGGGAAGGGAAGGTGAAGGGGAAAGGGATAGGGAAGGTGAAGGGGAAAGGGATAGGGAAGGGGAAGGGGAAAGGGATAGGGAAGGGGAAGGGAAGGGGAAGGGAAGGTGAAGGGGAAAGGGATAGGGAAGGGGAAGGGAAGGTGAAGGGGAAAGGGATAGGGAAGGGGAAGGGAAGGTGAAGGGGAAAGGGATAGGGAAGGGGAAGGGGAAGGGAAGGGGAAGGGGAAGGGAAGGTGAAGGGGAAAGGGATAGGGAAGGGGAAGGGAAGGTGAAGGGGAAAGGGATAGGGAAGGGGAAGGGAAGGTGAAGGGGAAAGGGATAGGGAAGGGGAAAGGGATAGGGAAAGGGATAGGGAAGGGAAGGGGAAGGGAAGGTGAAGGGGAAAGGGATAGGGAAGGGGAAGGGGAAAGGGATAGGGAAGGGGAAGGGGAAGGGAAGGGGAAGGTGAAGGGGAAAGGGATAGGGAAGGGGAAGGGAAGGTGAAGGGGAAAGGGATAGGGAAGGGGAAGGGGAAAGGGATAGGGAAGGGGAAGGGAAGGTGAAGGGGAAAGGGATAGGGAAGGGGAAGGGGAAAGGGATAGGGAAGGTGAAGGGGAAAGGGATAGGGAAGGGGAAGGGAAGGGGAAGGGAAGGTGAAGGGGTAGGAGGAAGGTGGGGTGGGGGGAAGGGGCGGGAGGGATGAGAAGGAAGGGAGGTGATGTTGGGAGGAGATGAGGAGGGAGGATTGGGGTGGAAAGAAATGAGGTTTAGTGGCGAGCTAAATACAGAACCAAATAGTTATAGATAAAGCATGTTAACAACAAGAGATACTCGATGAAAAACAAGAGAATACATGCATCATTTTTTTCCAGTAATATCCTTCATACATATTTACCTAGGTACATATACATATCCCTTTGAAGACGAAAAAAAAATATATATATATATATTATATATTAAATAAATGAAATAACATGTAAACAAAGAGAAAACAAGAAAAAAACTAAAAACAAGATCCACTCACGATGCACCAGCTGGAGAAAATAACAAACAATATAATCAAAAGAAAAAGGAAAAGCTAATGTAGAGAATAAAACAAACTCCCGAGGGCGCGCTCACGATGCACCGGCGGCAGAATCCGAGGCAGAGGCTCGTTGGCGGCGCCGAAGTCAGGGTAGTGCAGGTTGTTGCAACGGCCGCTGTGGCTGCGGTACTTCTCCTGCGGGAGGCACGGGCCCTTCGGGTCTCTCCTGCGGGGCGAGGGAGGCGGCGGTGAGAGAGCGGGGGGCGTGAAGGGTTGGGTGGAAAGGGCGAGGGGAGGGAGGGGAGGGAGGGAAGGGGAAGGAGGGAGGGGAGGGAGGGAAGGGGAGGTTTAGAGAGGGGGCGGGGAGGAGGGAGGGAGAGGGAGGGAGAGGGAGAGAGGGAGGGAGAGGGAGAGGGAGAGAGGGAGAGAGGGAGGGAGAGAGAGAGAGAGAGAGAGAGAGAGAGAGAGAGAGAGAGAGAGAGAGAGAGAGAGAGAGAGAGAGAGAGAGAGAGAGAGAGAGAGGGAGGGAGAGAGACGCAGTTTTAAAAAGCCGACTTACTCGCATTCCTTCCCCTTGAAGGAAAGGTCGTCCGGTGTCACATGCGGAGGCTGGGCCGCCGGTCGTCCCTCTGGATCCAGGTAATAAGGAGACCCGAATTGGTCGTCTCCTGCGAGAGAAAACCTCACTCATACTTAATTTAATACTAACGATACTAATTAACAGGAATGCTAATTAGTATCCCAGATCTAAAATAAAAATTATTGGGTCATTATTTGATCATTTGTCTAAGAGGTAAGTAGGCCCATAAAACCAGGGAAGTACATAGAGCAATGACTTTTAAGGATTTTAAGTGTAGGTAATGGGGTTGGGTGTTCTTTAGGGTTTTTCCCTAAGTTCAAGTAGTGTTATTTTGAACTTTCTCCCGTAGTGTGTCTTACAAGTACCACCATGATAGTCCAGAAACTCTTAACAGCCATACAGATAGAACTGCATCAGGTGATGGTGTAGCCTCACCATTTAGCGCTCAGGAAAAGGCCAACAAACTTTCACAGTTAATATTCTGACAATATAAGCTTGATTAATTCCTTACTTGGCTAGTAAACGGGAGAGTTCTTATTGACATAATATATATTGTAATTTTTTTTTTTGTTGACGGATCCCACGGGGTTTCTCGATCAGTTGATTAGCAAAAATTGATAAGCCATTTTTAGCTGAATTTACCTTAGAGGGATTATCCCTAAGATACGGATAAAATTGATAAATAAAACGATATTGCCCATTTCCTTTGCATCTTTCCATGTAAACACATGTATCGGGATACAATAGAGAGTCAGAAAAAAAACTATTGTTACTTTTACTTGTGGTCAATATGTACCTGAGCGTTATGCTGTGTTTGTCAGCCCTTCCCATGGCAAGTGTTTTTGTGGAAGGGGCTTGTTACAATGTTCGAGGAACGAGACTAATGAACTAGTTTTTTGGAACATGCTTTTCGAGGACTTGTTTTGTCAATGTATTTAGATTTTTGATTATCTTTTACCTTCTTAAAAAATATATATAATAATAATAACTGTTTCGCATTACTTTCCTCTCGTCTCACCATGACGACTTGGATAAAAAATAAAACATTCATCTTCATATCCAATATCATTTAATATATCTAATTATTAAAGTGTTATCAATATACATGGGTAATGTAAAGCGAAATACAGTATTGAATACAGTATTGTACTGCTTTACATGGTGATATAAATGCTTTAGTCGGGTTAGCAAATGCGTCACACTGATGCTTCCGAGTTAATATGGATTGGGAGAAGCTATCGTCAGGCTACATAGGGAAGGAATGAGTAGTGATGAGGTCGCGCGATACCTTGGCATTGCAAAGCCAACCATAGCTTGGTGGATAAAACGACATAAGGACGCTGTCGATTTGAACGACCTACTTCAAAGCTGGTGTCCTCGCTGCACGACCACTGGATATTATTCTATTAGAACGGAACTTGGGGAAAACAACTAAATATCTGCTTATTGCGGGCTTAAGTGATTCTCCGTAGAGACACCAATTAATATAAAACACTTATTAGCATCTAGTGGCAAGAGGATATTGTGATGTGTGTTGGTATTTGTGATTGCCAAGGTCTGTATTGCATCAGTTTGTTGAAAGCCACATAAATTACAAATATGTCTAAGTCTTACAATTGTGAGATCTGTGTAGGTGTTTTAAAGTAGGCTCAAAAATGGCCTTGAGTCCATGACCTATGCACAACCTTATCCAAAAACTGAAAAAGGGAAGGATGGAGAACATACCATCCACCATTATGGTGATGTGCCTAAGAAGCTGCCAGTGAGGACGATACTGTTTTTAGACCATCATGAGAAAACAAACGAAGCTTTAGGGCGAGGCAACTTCAGGAAAACAAGATTCAGCTGCTGGGGACTAATGCCAGGTCAATTTAAAAGCAATTCAGCCAGGACCTTGCTTTTCAGAAAGTATGACCCAAATAAGCTCTTCATTATTGTAGCATAAAACCAGAAATTTTGTTTTACAAAGTATTAAAAAGACAACCATCGGAGCATTCCGGAAGGCATTGTGGATTGATTGAATTGACAGGCGAATGACTGAAGCAGTCAAAAAATCTGGATGAAACCAAAGTCAGACCCTGTTCATCCCAAGCACCTTCCCTTGATGATGTTGGGTATTTTAGGGCATTGTCTCAATAATTAGCCTTTAGAACGCATATCTGAGAAGGCCAGATGTGACACACTGGAGCTAAACGGCACACCTCAGTTTGGATTATCAAAAAGTGTGCTAGTGCTTGTGCAATAGAGAGGGTCCAAAATGCCCGAGTCAGAAACACAGCTACGAAATGCTTGGGAATCTCCCAAATCAGACCATCTACAGAAGTTTGCCGATAGAGTCGCGTGGCGATCGAGGAGACTTACAAATCAATGATTATATTTGATATTGTAGAGTATTCTGTAAATACTTCATGCGCAAGTAACCATCCTTTTCCTTATCCTTCATTTCTTGTTAAAATCCACTAATCTTTAAAGTGCGGCAACGTCATCCTTCGTTGACTGTGTACCACCAATCGTCACGGAATATTGAATGCAAAATAAGTACAAAGCAAAAATTACGGAAATTTAATCGAGTACTGTCTTGCCCCCCCCCCCCCCCACACACGCACTAACAGCGCCCAATGGTAAATATACAGAATACCT